GTGTAAAGAGTACTAATATATTCTACTCAAGTAAAAGTACTGTTACTTTTATGAAATTTTACTTAAGTACAAGTAAAAGTACCAGTTTAAACATGTACTCAAGTAAAAGTAAAAAGTAACTCGTTTAAAATGTACTTTGAGTAAAAGTTACTTTTTTTTAACAACGCGTAGACGTGAAAAAGGACGAGAGGATATTAATCTCAAAGTTTTTTTTGATTAAAGGCAAATCTTTGCAAAGTTTATCTTTTCAGATAAACATTTTCTTTTCTACCCCATTGACTAAAACAAAATATAAATAATGATGAATAAATAATCAAGGATTATATGTTCAAGTATTCAGCTGTTTTATGAAGAGAAATGTTTAAACTATTTAAGAAAATATTAAAGGGGTCTTTGTCTCAATCATAAACAGTGTAGAGTATTTTAGTGTTTTTAGTTTTGTTATTCTTAGTCTCAAAGACAGCCTCAACCCGCAACTAAACCTGAGATGAAAGATAATCCATTTATTGTTTTAAAATGGGCCTTTATGAGATTATATTAGATGTTTTAGTCACCGTTTGTTTGCTACTGAAGCTTCTAACTGAGTCTGTTTGGTTTGAAGTATTTATTTTCACAGCTTACGACACCCAAATTCCTCATACGTCTGCTTCAAAATAAAAGCACATCACAGAGATGGTAATAACTGACTTTTATTGTGAAAAACTTTCCGGAACTAAATGTGTTTATCACTCGAAGCTGCAGCGGCGATTGTAGTCGCGAACGCTGCAGTGAGAAAAAGCATCCTCAGCCACTTCTTTGCCCGAGAGTAAGAACCACAGCCAACTTATTTAAATCATGTTGGACTTAAGACAATAAGACTTCAGTTTATAAACACCTTCAGCAGGTAGACCCACAGTAGAGGAGGAACTTATCCTGCTGCACTATACTGAAGTGGCACCGAGCCAAGAAAAGGGTCTCTCTCTCTCTGCCTCTCTGTCTGTCTCTCTCTCTCTCTGCCTCTGCCTGTCTCTCTCTCTGCCTCTCTCTCTCTCTCTCTCTCTCTCTCTCTCTCTACCTCTGTCTCTCTGTCTGTCGTCCAGAGAGCGATGAAGGAACACAGCAGGCCTATTCTTTTTTTTACTCAGTGACAGATGTGATTTCAAATGTAGCGAATTACAATACTTAACAGAAATCCTACTTAAGTAAAAGTAAAAGTACAGATTTTAAAAACGACTTAAAAAGTAGCAAGTACACCAAAAAACTACTTGTACGTTCTGTGAGGCCAGAGAGTGGACCAGGTGAGGCAGGATGTCTTCCTTCACCACAGCCTCAGCCAGGTCATCACTGTGGTCTGCCAGGCGGCCCAAAGCCAGAGCTGCCGTCTGCTGGACGCCGGGGACCACATCCAGCATCAGGGGGCGCAACAGTGACATCACACCTGCAGCACAGGAGGAGAGGGAAGGGGAGAGTAGGATAAACAACTACTGGAAATAGCAGCCATTGCTGACATAGATGTATTCCACAATTTCCCAGTTTGGGATCAATAAAGTAATTCTATTCTATTCTATTATTTGAATTTCTTACCTGCATTTTGGAGGATTTCTATGTTTTGCTGTCTGGATGCCAGGTCAGCAACTGTTTGCACAAACTGCATTCTTGATTTCTGATACTGCTCAAAAACTACAAAGCAAAAACAAACAGGGAAACAAAGCTGACGTTTTCGTTGAATTTGCCTTGAATATTTCACATTGGCTAACGAGTCTCACCTTGAATGATCTGCCGTTGACTCATTGTTACCGAGAAGGAAAAAGCCTCTTCCCATAGATTGAAAAAGTCACCAAAATTACTTTTTTTTCTCCCCCGTCTAGAAAATGCACTGAATTTATCGCAGGCCAGTGTAGCGATTCTCCAGTCCGTCTCCAGGTTTGTGTTAGGTAGTGTTGTTATTAAGTGTTACCGCGGTAACGGACCGGAAGCTCTTGCTACAGCCGAAGACCGTCTATTGTATAGAGTACTCACTCTGGTGCTTGAAGCGTTCCAGTTATATATTCAGCGTGAGAGCTCTGTCTGGTTTCATGACCTTTGTTATCTCTGTGTTAGTTCCCGCTTAAACCGCGGATATGTCGCACATTTTCACAATAGTTATTCTCCACATGTGAAAGAGTCGTTAAGGAAATTAATATATTGAATTAAGTCTGAATATACTGAATGAATTCTGAATATACTGAATGAATTCTGAATATATTGAATGAAACTTTGAATATATGGAATGAAACCTTGAATATATTAAATGAAACTTTGAATATATTGAATGAAGTCTGAATATATTGAATGAAACTTTAAATATATTGAATGAAACCTTGAATATATTAAATGCAACTTTGAATATATTAAATGAAACCTTGAATATATGGAATGAAGTCTGAATAAATGGAATGAAGTGTGAATATATTGAATGAAGTCTGAATATATGGAATGAAGTCTGAATATATTGAATGAAGTGTGAATATATTGAATGAAGTCTGAATATATGGAATGAAGTCTGAATATATGGAATGGAAGCTGATTTCAATTCTCCAACTCCACCAGTTTCATTGTTGTCATCAAAAAGACACCCTGCTGAATAAGCTGGTTTTGCAAAATGACATCAGCTGAAATATACCAATACTTTGTTGAACTTCAAAACTTTTTTGAAGCAGCTGTTAATACTCAAAATCATATGAATAATGTGGAATGTAGAATGCATCACCTTGAAGATCATAGTTCATTTATTGGAACATTTTTACTGTGTATGAGTAGTAATACTCAACAAAACATTGCTGAGTGCACCTTGTGCATCCAGCTTTATGGAATTTTTTAGTCTCTTACTGAGATGTAAGCTGAAATAACACAACAGATTTCCATTCAATATATTCAAAGTTCCATTCAATATATTCAGACTTCATTCCATATATTCAAAGTTTCATTCAATATATTCAGACTTCATTCCATATATTCAAAGTTTCATTCAATATATTCAGACTTCATTCCATATATTCAAAGTTTCATTCAATATATTCAAAGTTTCATTCAATAAATTCAAAGTTTCATTCAATAAATTCAAAGTTTCATTCAATATATTCAAAGTTTCATTCAATATATTCAAAGTTCCATTCAATATATTCAAAGTTCCATTCAATATATTCAGACTTCATTCCATATATTCAAATTTTCATTCAATATATTAATTTCCTGAATGGCCCTAAAAGGGTGACAGAAGAGAGAATATATCTCTCCCAGACCAGACTCCTCCACACTTTTTCTTGTTTCTCTCCCTGCCATTATAAGAAGCATTTAGGAATATAAAGACTATTTTAATTATCTGTTAATATCCATACAGTTTTAAATGAATATTGATTTTTTTCTATCTGTCTGTCTGTCTGTCTGTCTGTCTATAAAATGATAGCAGCCTGCACTGTGGGGTAGGTTAGGCTACTGAAATTTTCACTAAAAAAATGTTGTTTCTATTTTTTTCAAATAATTAGTCTATGAAATAGTAGGCTACTTTATGCTTTTCCTATGGAGTAGCAAAGGGTAGGCTAGCCTACTTGCTTTTTAATCAGTTTTAAATCCCATGTAGGCCCTAAACATATAGCCTATTGACTAGCCTAAATAAAATAAGATAGTAGGACCTATTCATTATTATTCGTCCTCCTTTCTTGATGGACTAGGTTGTAGTTTACAGTTGAGGAAAATAAGGGCAATTATGCTTCCAAAAGAGTCTGCAATTGGAAATTAGAAATAGCCTACGGATACACTTCCAATAATGCGCATTACCCCTGCATCTTTTTTGGTTTAACCCCACTTATTCAAGCACGAGGAAAATACTTTTTCATTGTCTACCATTTAGATATCAGTGTTTTTTTTTGTTTTTGAGAGCGATTTGTTTGAATTCGCCTATGTTGACGACCTCATATAGCCTATACTAAGTCAGTTTTTTTGTTTATTTTAGGCCTATTTAGCTAGTCTAGCCTATTTAAAAAAAATTCCAATGTCTCGTTTTTTTCAACGAGGCCTGCCGAATTCATCAATGCAAAATGAGTTTAATTATCACCCAGTTGCGCCAAAACAATGTAGAAGTTCGGTGTGGTTCAAAGAAAATTCGTTAAATTCGTTATGATAATGCTTAATCACTTTGATAAAGCTGTTCTGGGTGTTCTGTCTATTTTAATCACCCTATTTATGATTTTTTTTTTTTAATCTGCTTTAAAGTTCGTTCTGATTACAAGCATTTGAGCTGATGTTCAAACAGTAGCCTACAACGTTGTGTACGTTTCTGCTCCATAGCAGATTAAATACAAATAATTCGTTTTTTTAAATAGAAATAAAATGTGACTTGTTGATAGGGCTATTTAACGCTGTTGTAATAAATAGTTGACATTTTCTTAAAATTAGGCGTGATAACTTACGCCCCTTTTAGTGTCACCTAAAATCACAAATAGCCTAAAATGTGTTGAGTTTGAGGTAGTCTACCTATGTTATATGTGGACAAAGAAAAATTGTAGACAAAATAAGGAATAGGCTATAGGCTATTAGGCTATAGACTATAGCCTATATATTTTATTTGACTACTATAAATAAGTTAATATAGCCTATATGCCCTATATCATAAAATATCCTGATTATCAATTCAACCTCGCAGACAAATAAGGCTTTGTTTTTCCCTTAACCACTTCAAAGCAGGAAAAAAAACGCAATTAGGCTCTACTCATGTGATGGCACAATTCATCAAATCATAAAAAATGAAGGCTTCGATCCTAATTCACCTACATGTAGGTTATAAAGAAACATGATTTGATCCCGGACGAGCTCCCTATGGCCTCCATAAATGAATTATCTACCACTGATACTGACGACACGTGACGCTCTGCACCGTCTGCTCATTTCTATTCTTGCTGTAAGTGGTTTTGTTATCAGCCTGCAGGCTGACTGACGACCCTCCTCCACAAAGCATCAATTAAAATAAAAATAGTATACTCTTCTAATTCTTCCGTAAGTGTAAAATGTTTTATTTAGATGTTTTATACTGTGCAACAGTAACAATACAATAAGTTGTCCATACAATCGAGCGATACAAATACAGAAAACACAGGAGACATCAAAACATCTGTCATTGAGCATGAAATGGTGTCGATCAGGAGCCCAAGTCATTCCCTTACAACAAAGGGGAATAAGAGAATAACATCATCGCTGATTAAATATGTGTTTGGTTCCTATTTACACATGGAGCATAAGCAATATGATTCCATTGCAGCTATAAGAAACTGTTTTGTGTAGTCAGTAAAAGGCAATTAAATGTCGTTTTATTTTTTTCGTTGAGCCAGTGCTGTTCACACTTCGCCAGAAACAACTACAAAAACCCTGTGGGACAACACGCAGAATCCTCTTTCATGAGCCTAAAGGGAAAAAAAAAAGTGTCTTCATGAGCATGCATGTTTAAACTGATGGTTTCAAAATGTCCCAACACATGATCATGATAAACGCGTTTCATCTGAAAAAGAAAGGCAAAGAAAATATAAGTCTATCTTCAGTCACTTCAGTAAAATAAAGACGTAGCTTTTAAAGGCGATACATTTTGTCCATCTTACCCACTTTCTTTTTTTTTCTTTTTTTTTTCCCCAACATCAAAGTCCGCTTTCATGTGATAAAAAAAAATCTCACGTCCAACATCCTCATTCCTTTAATTTGAAATGTCTCTGATTCCACTACGGTCAGACTTACATGTGATGTCATAATATTCAGAACAATGAAGAAAATAGAGAGAACATTGTCTACACGATGGAACTAGGTTGGCATGGAAACGGTATTAGCTGAGCGGGGGAGGGGGGGGGGGTTGTCTGGCGTTGGCTGGTCTGTTTCGGACCGGAGCCCCGCGTCATCCGGAGGAGGTCGCGGAGCCGTTCAGAGTGACCTTCCGCTGCTTGTTGACGCCGCCGCCGCTGCTGCCGCCGCTGCCGAACTGAGTGAAGGGCCGGCTGGGGGTCGGAGGGGCAGCAGCTGGGGTCCCGTTGACGTTGTTGGGGCCGTGGGGGAGCTGAGGGTGAGGGGACTGCGCAGGCGTGCCGGGGCTCGGCATCGACGAGGAGGTGGACGGAGCCCCCGCGGGACTCCCGGCTTTGTCGCTGGCAGAGTCGCTCTCGGGACCGGATCTACTCGCGCTGTTTTGGCCTTCCTGCTGCGCATAGCTCACTTTCATCTTTTTGCAGTTGGGTCGGACTCTGTACTTCAGCGGCAAAGGACCGTTCTGTGGAGAGAATAAAAAAAAACATTTAACAAAGACCCAAACTAATAATAATAATAATAAAACAACAACAAGCTTCTCTCACTACAACACAGTTTACTCGAAAATATCACATCTGTTCATACAAGAGAGAGTGCATCTAGGTCAGCTTTTCAAAATAAAATTACAGCTTAATATCATTTTCTTGAGAACAGTATCCTAAACGAGCCCATTTTTATCGTGAGTGTAAACAATTAAACATGCTACATATTTGTTGCTCTTTGCTGACCCCTCAGTGTTGGACAACAAGCCAATGAAGAATTTTAAAGGCCTAGCCCTATAAAAAGCCTGTTGTTTATTTGTCAATAAATAAATAAAAAAATGCTGCCCCAGCCAACACAATCTCATATTTTATGTTTTTTCTATATAATTTATTTTAGTTTGCTTTATAAAATAACTTCATAAATAATTTGCAGTGGTTAGCCTAAATATTGTTTTGAGCAATTTGGCTCAAATTCAATCTTAAGCTTGCGTATTAGTAAAGTAACATTTAACTGATTTCAAGATTTTAATGCTGGCTTTCTGTTTATTATTTCGATGGTATTTAAGTCTTGTTTTTATTAATTAACCATAAAGTGTTTAAATGTTTACCTCTGCATAAAGGACATGATGTTAGCAGAATATATTTGAAAATGTTGATAACGTATAATGTAAGATATTTGTTTATTTGATTCATAATTAGGCAAAATAGTAAAATGAATAATTAATATATATATATATATGGTTAAACCAAAAAAAGTCAAGTTTATGCTGTACAAAAGAGCTCTTACTCTTCTCCAAGTGTAGATATATGCTATATCCATTAACGTGTAGTAATCTTTCAGAGGTTCGTCTTCATACATGACTTCAACCTAGGGTGGGAAAAAAGGCAGATTTGAATTTCAGCTTTACCAAAAAGATATCTGTATTTAATTAACATTTAAACAAAGAAATCTCACAATATTCAGAGATTGACACTTTTATGTCCAAAATGCTGTTTGTATTTGTTCAAGTTAAATAAGTCAGACCTGGTAGGCACTCGGGATGTCCATTTTGCTGCGCAGAAACTTCCTCAGATGCATCACTGTCATGGCTGCTGGACACTGCAGGTACCTCTTGTTAGCCACCTGCACATAGATATATGTTAGTATCATAATCTATGCGTTTGTATAGAAGGATATGGTTCCAGAGTGACTGGTGTGTTAATGATAACAGAGTGGTTCACCTTAAAAGCAGACAGAGAAATACTTTAAATGAACAAATGTTTCATGTAACAACAGAGAAGGCAAATTACATTTACATAATAAAATAATAAGGCAGTAAGAGTCCTTTTTATTTTGTTTCAAATAATCTTAACAAGAAAGTTTTTTTTATAAAATTAACTTGCAATACCTGATCTTTTGACTGTTTGTCTTCTACTCCACCTCCAAGTCTGTGGGGAAAAAAACATTATTAACTGATACATATCTGTGCTATGTGATACTTATTTATTCAATGTTTCTTCACCAGGCATGCAATGACAAAATAAAGAGAAATAAAAAAAGATAACATTGTAAAAATTGAGCATGATATTTTTGCCATCAAGTTATCGAAACAGCACACTTTCTCCTGCGTTAAATAAAATGGAATAAAACAGTTTACAACTTTTTTTCCTGATTTTTTTAAGTTTGGAATTTCTTATTTAAATGAAGCTTCCTTAAAAAAACAAACACACATAAATGACATCCAATAATGGTTATTGGGAAATAAACCAGTTTCAGACCTGAAGACAAAGTGTTCCAGACCAAACTTAATCAAGATTCTACTGAATTGAAGAAGAGACTTTTCAGTGATGTGTGTAGGACATGAAGCTGGACAAATAGATGACCGTTTTTATATACAGGACAGAGGAGTTATTGAGTTTCAGGAACACTCTATCCCCTGTAAGATGTGATCAATAATAAGGCAGCTTCAGTACGACGACAGAAGTTTTCTGGGATGTTATAAATGTAGAATGACAATCATTCTTGCCAATAATAATGGTAGAGCGCCAAGAACAACCATTTCTAGATCCAATTTAATTTTAATAAATAATGCTACATTGATTATAAGGGAAACCAAAGCAAACCATTACACCGACCTGCTCTGATCAAAGAACTCAATAGAGAGACTGATGATCTCGTCATCTGTAATTATTCTCTTGTCCTCGTCTGCCACCTCTCCGCGATCCTCGTTAGATCCGTTAGAAGCTAGAAAAACACACAACCAAAGAGTCACATTTTTTTTTTTTTTTTTAATTATTTGTAACATTTTATTTAAATTAAATCTAAATTTATTTTTTTCAATATCAAAATGGAAAGTGATACCTAAGGCCTTCAACTCACCATCAACAGGATGATCTGCGTAAAAGTCTCTCCTCCTCTTCATTTCATCTGAGGACATTCAGGAAGAACACAAGAAATGACGGGTCGTACCATTTGATCTAGTTCTTAAGCAATGATTTGACAAGGGCTCTGCATGTCAGGATTTGTGGCAAGAAAATCACAACAGTACAGCGGAGTGTAGAGTTAATCAGTGTGGTCAATCTCAATCAATCAATATTTATATAGCACCAATTCATAACAAATGCAACCTCAAGACCCTTTATAGCAGAGAGTTAGGTGTTTTACCTGCTCTTTTGTAGAGTTTTTGTTGTGCTATAGATTTAATTTAAAAAAATATATATATATATATAACGGATCAGATCGTCACGGCAAAAATTCCAAGTAATACCAAATGGTGATACCAATAGAAAATCTACATTACATTTCATTAGATCATTCACTACCGCAGTGTAGGGTATATGATATAAAACATGAGGAATGAAGCTCTGCATTATCAATAACATACTGAATAACTAGATCAAAGTAGAACTTAACAAAGTGACAGAAACAACCAACAGCTTGATGTCAGATTAGAAAACAAAGCCCCATATGTTATATATTTCTAGATATTAAACAAACAAAAACAAAAGAAAACAAAAAACGTTGACTTGCTCATATCAAAAAGCTTTGTCGGGTAAATTGATTTGATTTGAATAGACAATCATTTCTTCACTTTTTATTTGCAGGATGATGAGTCAGAGTGAAAGTGAAAAGTTCGTTTCACTATTCTTACTTTTGAAGAGGCCTGGGACCAGCTTGTACACGATGTCCTGGAGAGTTTTGTCAGACCTACAAAGAGAGAAAGAGAGAGAGAGAGAGAGGAAGAGGAAGAGAAGCTAAAGTCAATTCAGTCGGATACTTACTGTTCAAAATGGAACAACAATTGATTGTAAAGGTTGAAGTGCCCTTTGTCAATTGAATTATGGAGAAGCAGATAGCTGAATAAAGTTATTCAAGTTATTATACAACAAACGTTTACTAATTTTATTATCTGATTTTCTCAATTGTAGCATATGCAACACATTTTGTTGAACAAGTTTTAACTGGTACTTATTAGGAAAATTCATGTCTAGAGGTCTGTGACTGTTCCACTTGAACATTTTGAACCAATCAGTGGCTCTGCAAGCTGCTCAGAGGGGAAACAAAGTAGCAAGCATGTAAGGCAGACAAAACCTTTAAACTAAGAAGCAGCTGCTTTACTTTACAAATAACAAAAACTTAGTCAACTCACAAAGGAAGAGAAAGTCAGGCTCTCAAGGACAGATTTGATCCTGTTAAAAGACACTAAAAAGATAAACGCAGCGTGGCAGAGAGTTCAGTAAGCAAAGTTCTCACCTTATGTTGAGGAGAGGCTTGGTTTTATGCACTTGTACATCACAGATGGGACAGTATTTGCTGGTTTCCAGGTAGCGCACGATACACATTTTGCAAACTGCACATGAAAGAAACAAAAAGAGAGAGGAGCTTGTCATTATCAAGTGTGAACTTAAAGGATATCCTGTATTTGAAATGGTAGAACGCTAAGGCTGATATGTGAACTTTTTTTTTTTTTCAGTGTCAGAGTGCACAGAGAGAAGAGCTGACGTGTTTTGTCAGTTTGCTCACATGAGTGAAGACATTCGATGATGGTGGTCGCGTCTATGAAGTATCCTCCGCACAGGACGCACATGAGGTGAGGGTTGAGCTCTGTGATCTTTATCCTGGTCGTCCGATGCATGTTGAAAGAGAAAAGAACAACAGTCCTGCGAGGGGACACACACAAAAAACCACACACACACACAAAGAGAGCGAGTCAAAACGCGCTCGATGAGGCATCAGAGGGCTACAACAGGGTTCTGTTTCACCATTTGCAAAAGACGCTGCTGGGTTTTTTTTTGACTGTGTTAAAGCAAACATCTTGGTTTATGGTAATCACACAATAAGCAAAAGGGGAAGGAGTTCGGTGGCAGAATTGATGGGCAGTAGCAGCGCAGTGAAATCATCGTAAATCAATCACTTCCAACTGAGAGCTCGATGGAGTCATGCGCGCCTCCCCTGCGCTTCAACTTACATCTGACATGGATTAACACATGGCGACATCACAGGGAGCAAAAGCAGAGCAGGTAACCCTCCTCCAACAGGCAGGAGATAAAAGACGCGCGAGGAACATGAAATTCTTGGTTGTGGTTATGAAAATGTTGTGCAAAAAAGGACGGGTTAATGCGTAATGGGGGAGGTTAAATCTAGCCTATAGTCTATACTACCTTAAAATGTTTTTCTCTTCATTCTACATCAGTACATTTCAAGACAAAAAGTGGTCGAAATTTTGTTATTCCAAAACAAGTGAATCGTAGACATCCGTAATCTTAATTAAAACAAACACCGTTTCATCACACTTGATCTCCAATTGTGAGATCGCGGTGGAGGATTATATTACGTGCGTGGTCGACAGCGCCCCGGGGTGAGTGTCGGTGAACTGGGGGCGATGGGAGACACCCATTCAGCGTCAGGTGTGCCACACAGGCTGTGGGGTGGGGTGGGGTGGGGGGGGGAACCTGAGCGTTTCTATGGCAACTCCTTTTTGCTTTTTTAGCCCACATGGCTGGCAGCCAGTCACCAGAACAAGGCAGGGTCTCTCTAAGCAAAACAACAACACGGTGAGCTGCCCGGTGTGAGAGCGGGAACGAGGAGGGACCGGAGGTTTTTCTCAGGAGCCGCTGGACTGCCAGGCTGCCGACAGCACGGCTGCCATTTTGTGGAGGAAAAAAAAAAAAAAAAAAAACACGGCAGTGTCGGTTCAACGGGCTGCGGGGGTTTCCTTTCGAAAAGGGTGGGGGGGATAAAACCAGCGTCAAAACGCGTTTACACGAGCTTCCCACGGTCGCGGAGCTCGTTGAGGAGAGGGCTGCGTGTCCTTTTTTTCGGAGAACATAATCTCCGCTTCGCTTTGCGCCGTGTTGTTGACGGTGTGTGCGCGATAACCAGCAGTTGTGCAGCAGGAACACGGGCAGGCAGCAGCGACTGTGCTGAAGTTACAGCACACACCGGGTCTTTCTTTATTTATTATGCGCCAACATGTCGTCCCTTTATTTATTGTCGGCACTGCAACACTTTGGAGCTTTCGGTCGTTTTACTTAACGAACCCGGTTTTAAACAAACCACTTCAGGCTCAAACGATAGAACTGCACCAATCCAGTGCCGAAGTGTCACTATCTGCCATTATAGCCCCTATTTTATAAGACATAGCTTATACTGCAAATAGTTATGGCGGAAAGAACAATCCGTGGCAGGCAGTGCGCAGCTTTTAATAACGCTATAATGACGCTGCTGTGCGCCCTTCAGGCTATTGGAACAAATTAAAAACCGAATGTCATATCAAGACTCGACGTGGAGACCCTGCTGAAACGCTGAGTGACAGCCAAACCTGTCCAGCTCTGACCCATAACTGTGAGGTTCCTTCATGGAGCAGCAGCCGGCACCGTGCCCGGTTATTCAACCTGTCTTGGCCGATTTTGAAACAATTCACCTCGGAGAAGTTTCGACAGCAACTCAGCGCAAAGGATGCCGGATAATACTGAATAATGTCCAGAAGCCTTTAGCCTCTTTTGGAGAGGAGTTGGACCACCGCTTCCTCCCCCACCCCCCTCCCTGTGGGACAGTATCAGTCTACTTTGCAGAACTTCGAGTCCATCAGAAATCCAAACATGTTCATTCATATAAGTCAGGACAGCTGCTGACGAGCTGAACTACCAACCAACAAACGCTTAAGACCAAAGTCTGCTTCCATTATACAATCACTTATTTATAACTACATCTAGAAAAAACAGACTCAACATGAAGGATACAATCATAATAGTATCGGCCTATATATTCTTCATGCAGCAAGGTTTCTTTTTTTTTAAAGCCTTGTTAATAAATAAATAAATATTTTATTCTGGCACCAAATGGAGAGGTTTTTTTTCCTCCGCATTCAAGTCATGCTAAACTCATGTATTCCCAAAGAGAGCAGCTCCTCTTGTAAAGGTTACCCTGCACGTAAATCAACAGCTGCTGGAAATAAGCCAATTAAACTCGACTATGGAAAAACTCAGGACCCCGTCGGCCTGTTTAACGTTGTCAGACAATTCACTAGCTCCTCAAAATAAATTGAGTTTGAGCAACAAACTAAAAAAAATAAAAAATAAAAAACTTATTTAGGCCATGTCAGTTCCCAGACAAGAACAGCTTACATGTGTTGTTAAATTGTGCGCAGCACACTAAAGCACATGTCAGGCTTTATGCATATAATGCACAATCCTGTGAGCTGAGGAAAATATGAAGCCAACGAGCGCAAACATGGACCCCAACAACATTCACGAGTGAAATGATAAATTTTGTCCCCCAGGAGGCAGAAAGCCTGGATCATATCAGTCTGTCTGTCTGTCTGGCTGTCTGTCCTGGGTCAAGAGAAACAGAATGCTTTCAGCAGAATGAAGGCGAAAATATGGACAACCATAATAAACTTAAATGTTAACAAGTAAACAGCCTTTGCCAGCCATATCAAGTGAAACGGTCGCTGCTTTGGCTGCTAGTGAGGCATAACCTGCCCTTTTGTATCCTGGCCGACGTGTCGCCAATATATGTATTTCTTTTTAAATGTCCTAAAACACGCACTTCCTCCTTGTTTCTGATAATCACACCACGAGATAAACATTCACAGTGCGTAACTACCGATGAGCCAGTGTTAACCAAGCAGCCGTCATCAAACATTTATGCTCAGTCGAAATGGTTTGCCTCCATGTCACGTTTATGGGAGGCATCCAAGTTAAGTTAATAAATCCAACATTTTATTATTTACACCCCAAACTAACACAACACCGTGTCCACAACACCCCAAACAACCAGACTCTATAAAATGAAGACGCTGGGCTGAAATATGGACACAGAAGGAGCGTTTGGAGCACTTGCTGCTGTTAACATCTCAGCCAACACAGCCCGGTTCACCCGAGATCTCCCACTTTACATAAATCCAAACCATTCAAGGCGAAACCAAACCGGGATCAACTTATACAGACAGATTCCCAAACACTAGACAATGCAACAGTGGGTCTTGGTGGGTCGTAATTCTCGTTTGTGCTCGAGCAGGGAACATCTTTTACTCAAAAAAAAAAAAAAAAGTGGTGCGCAGACACACACACACACACACACACACACACACACACACACAGAGAGAGCTCCACGTCGGTGATCGCTGCAGCCACCGTTGAAAGCTCCTCATCCACCGCTGGATCGGTGCGGAGAAAAACACAAAAGCACCGACCCTGAACCTCTCCTTCTGCCCTCGTCAGTTAGACACGATATCTTGGAAGACTTACCTGGATGCTCGGCGGGGAAACGGTGGGTCTTGCGGCGAATAGACAATGAAAGTTGGGAGGCGATCAGCAGAAAATGAATAGGAGCTGAGCCGCCATCTTGAAGCAGGCTGCAGACGCTGTCAGTGGCGGAGAGCGCACGGCGGACCGGAGCGCATTTCAGATGTGCGAAGAAAACTCCGCGTTTCCTCGCCGCGTATTCGCTGCGTGCGTGTCCGATCCGAGGCTCGAACGCAGTCCGAATCCTCCGGCTGAAGCTCGAGTAATCTCCCGCTTCTGCGCCGATAACTTTGCCTCCAAAATATCCGCTTCACCACCAGTAAAATGCAGCAGTGTGTGTGTGCTCAGTGGAAACTGACACCGTCCCCAAAATGGCTTGTAGTTCGACCGCCCCGCTTTGGTCACGTGGTGTCTGTGCTTAAGGGTGCCTTGGATTTACTGTCGGTGTATGCTGTTTGTCTTAATCTAGTACGCATGATGTGAAAATAACACACGGAACACACATGTAGGCTGCGTGTGAATAGACTTACAAGCACCGATTGTCATTAACAAATTAGTCGGTTTTGATTCAATGGAGCTGAAGTGGCATCAGGCGGTTGCTTAAGGGGGCACAGAAAATACTGTCGGTAGATTCTGGTCTGAGTAGCCTAATGTATGACGCAGGAATTAAATAACACAAAATATCGTGCAGTTTTATACACTTTGTACAGCAAAAACGCACAATGCATTCACTTCGATTTTAGGCTATTCTCACGCTCAGATGGCATAAGGTGATAAGTTGCGTGTACAGAAAGTAGGCTACTGATGGTCTGCCCTCGTCTCTCTGCTGTTAAAAATAACTGCAGCACACGCACTCACACACGTTCATGCCATCAGAAAGCTTCAATCCACTCAGCAGAACCTCAGTAACGCCATGCAGGCAGATACCTTATTAATCTCTGTTCCACGCTGCTTTCAAAAAAACAAAACAAAAACAAACAAAAAAAAGACCCACGCACTTGGTTAAAAATCCGTCCATGTGACAAATGGCTCTGGTGTCAAACCTTTGTCACAGGCTTGTCCTGACATCTGCAAGAAATGCGACGCAACTTGGACTTGATGAATTGGAGCCTTTATCCTTCGTGCAAGCCAGCGCGGCAGAGAAACGAAGGCACCTCGGATGTTTGTGGAATCTGAGCCGCCGTGGTGCTTCAACTCGGGAGCTTTGAACTTTCCCATGAGATGCAGGAAAAAAAGTCTTACAAAAGGGGGACCACAACTCTTAAAAAGAAAATGTGTGTAAAAGGCATATATGTGTTTCGGTAATCATCTATAAATAGATACCATCAGCATGCACAAAAAGCTGCAGCTGCGCCTCTTACGAAACAAAATACACCGCTGTCTTATTCAGGCTGGTTGACAAAACACATTGCTACACCGACCCAATATTCAAACTTAACTTACTTATTATATCAGTGTTACATCAAAAAGTGTATTTGTTAATAAAAATATATATATTTCCCCGCATCATAAAAACATAACTTGTGTCTGCATCAGTGGAAACAGGGTGTTTATTTAAAGCACAAGGTGGGTTTTAATTTCTCTTTTATTGAAACACAAGTTGGAATGATCGGTCTCACATATGTATACATGGCACGTCAGTGTGAGGTACAAAAGGCGCTATAGAGAGACGCACGATGACACGGAGAGCCGCTGTAGTTCAGGGCTTTTGGTGCAGAAAAAGGTGAGGAAACAGGACACCGGCATCACATCTGACTGGCTTTCTCCACACTCTTGGCAGCGTCTTTGAGTTTTCCCACCAAATCCTGCGAACAATTGATCATTGTCAACACAACAACATGACCTAAAATAACATCAAATGTGTTATGAAAAATACAATGAGGTGATGAGTGGGTTATATAAGAATAACCAAGGTTTAAACCAAATGTTCAGTTCAGGGTTTTTTTTTTTTTATAAAGTCTGACTTGTTGCTGAATTAAATTCGCCTAAAATCATATTCATATTTAATCATCACATCATATTATTTCAATGGATATTAATGTATCCTACTTTATTAAAACACAGAAGCCTCACACTGAAACGTCCACACCTTATAAAAGATTTATGGATAAAGCATCATGTCCTCTTTTAGGTCAACTGAATGCATCATCGTCATCATTTTCAGTAGATTCGTTTTATTACAACCGAGGGTTTTCTGCTGCAGTGAAAAGCCATTTCAGAAGCTTGTTTTATAGGATGGAACTCGTGGACTAAATGAGACAATTTATCGAATACATTTTGTTTGGAATTTCCCTGTTTGATGAGGGGAAAACTGCCCCCCCCCCCCCCCCACACACACACACAGCCATCAGCTCCATGAATCGACCTCTTTCATTATTTTAGCCAAACGGTGGTGAGACTGAATATGGTCGTTGCAAAGGCAGAGGAAAGATGACAGCACAGCAAGTTGACACAAAAGTGAGGATGAACTCCTCCAGACCTGTAGCTGCTCCATCGTGCAGGTGAAGTTGATATCCTCCGTGGACCCGTTGTTCTGATAAAAAAAAAAACAAAAGAACACAACGATGACAGAAATGAACACGTGCAGATAACAAACAAACAAACAAACAAACAAAAAGCATGGAAGTGGACGCATGAAGAAGTCTTACCTCAGTGTTGAGTGAAATCGAGTAAAAAGGCTCGTTGACCTTATCGACCTGTGCGTTCTGTCGCGGAGGGGGAAAACATATATTCGTTTGGCAGGTAACAGTGCCACAAAGAGACAACGTGTGCTTCTAAAAAAGAGTGTCGCGTAGTTACCTTCATGTGATACTGCAGACTCCAGGACGCGTCGGTTACGTGAGGTGGACTCCTTCCTATGCTGGAAGAGGACGAGAGAAAAGACATAGTTGCTGCACAGATGACACAGTAAGCAGGGACTCTAGCGGGTGACCAAAGCCATGAAGAAAAAAAAGACGGAGTTTAGAGAAGTAGCTCATAATGATCTCCTTTAAACAGTTTTCTTTAACCTTTAAACATCTGCGTTACGAGGTCATTCAGCCTCACGTATCCACAAAAGTTTTGGGCATCTCGGTCTTTGGGTCTGATTGACTGTGTTTCATATGAAATGAACATTTGTTTCAAGGCGGCGTGGCTTTTTTTTTTAATTAAAAAAAAGGGTTTATTTATGACGCGTCATAAAGGAGCATTTACATTGCAATTCATCACACTCCCCCTGACCCGTTCACGTCCAAAGACCCTGTGACCTCCTCATTAGTCAAAGCAACAAGAACACGCTTGCTACGTGCTTGATTTTACTCATTATGTTCACATTCAGATGAGTTCAAACTGGTTGATCTAGGATAGTCACTTGTTATCGATCCTTGCGGTGTTTCCCCACATCCATTAGCCTACCAGTGATTTACGATTAGAAAAATTATATCATAGAGAAAAAAATGCAGATTCGCTTTCATTCAACGTAATCTGAGCAATGAACTTTATACAAAGGTAAATTCACAACTTTAAGGGAGTATTGTTCACGACAGTTGCACGTTAAGGACATTATTAGATTAGAGTAAAAAAAAAAATCTAATTTAAAATCATGACTTCATCTCACTCTTACCTTGCTAACAGGCGTTCCAGCTCGTTTTTATGTTTCTGTGAAACACAACAAACAGATATGAGTTCATGTGGAAAATTCCCAATTCAACTTTTTTGTTGTTGTTGTTGTTGTTGTATGCAACATTGTCACTGTCACCTGATACGTGCTGTAGAATGTTTCTATTCTTTCTGCACTGAATGTGAGTTCTTCCAGACACGAGCTGCAAGAACAAAACGACACTTCAATTAGCAGCTTTATTTACCTTTTTCTTTTTTTAAAGAGTCAGCCAGTTATATTTCTGGACCTGTTTACACTGGCACTTTAATTACACCATGCACTTTATACTTTCTAAAACAAGAGATTTATAGGCAAACAAAATGTTAGTACTTCAGTTCCATTTAGCTGGAACGCTGAAGTCTATATTGTGGGACATGAGCATTAAAATGTTTTTTTATAACAGTGGTTTTTTTTTTTTTAAGGGAGTGAAAAAAGAAAACAAAAAGAAAACAGTGAGGTTTAGTCAATGTGTGTGCTGCGATGTTCACTCAGATTATTGCACTGCACACCCACAGTGCTTGAAAGTGTCTTTATCCTGAACATGCACCAGACTGACATTGATCAGATTAACACATACACTCCTGTTGTAATTATCATTTTAAAAACACAAAAATCATGACAAAAAAAAAAGGGTAATACATTAAGGCAATATGGAACATTTGTTAAAAACTTTATTGCCAAGATGACGCTACATAGATCCCTTCAAATAAAGATTGTAAAATGTAGAAACATTCTTTAAATCTATGTGAATCCACTCTCAGATTTTATAGGTTCCTCTGCACTTTCAAAAAAATCCCTTATGTGTTTTATATTTAATCCCACGCCAATTTAAAACAAGCAGAACCATTGTTTATCTATGCAGACGGGACATCCAAACTTATGGGACATAAAGACTTGCACACTTTCAGAGCACAACACATAACTAATTAACATATTCAAAGAATAACTTGATCATCTAATGTATCATATTGCTTTGCAGTAGCCTAAACTGTAAACTGTAGACTACACCGTGAAAAATATTTTTGCAGTTTAGTGGTTACCAATGGTTTACAAGAAATTGGGCAATATTTGGAAATCCCTAAATTGGATTGCTTAATTCCTGAATGGCTTTTATTGATATGTCACATTCTCACGTGTAAAACTGTAAGACAGCCTACATGATGATTTGGAGCCACACACCCTCTGTAACAACCGTGTGATGTGTCCACAGTTTGCATTATCCAAACAGTTCATTCGTTCGCCTTTTCGGTGATCATGAACGTAAGCAGAGAAAAATAGAAACATCATTTTACAGAAGAAAAAAAAATACAAAACACTTAATTTAAACTGTAAGCAACTACAGGCATACTCCTAAATATGAACACATATACAGAATCAAATCTAAAAAAAAAATGCCTGTTTTATAATTTCATGTAAACAAATCATTCTCCTCAGTAACTCTGGGTATTGCTGGCTTGGCAACCTGTCCTTCATAGACGCACCTTACTGGCTGTGGCATGAATGAGTGATGGTGTCTGTGTCCAAGGTAGTACCTGTACCAATAAAGTGCTAATACACCACAGACAGCAAACGCAAACCGTCTTGCTCTCCTACCTTATCGTCGACTTGTCTGCGTTTTGTTTGACCGCCTCCAGTATGAAGGTGGTCGCTGCAGTGTGAGTTTGTTTCAACAGGATCTGATCGATGTGCTTCAGCTCGGGCAGATCTGAAACCACATAAACATGATGAGGAGGACTGCGGCTCTGCACTTTGAGAATGTAGCTTTGTTTTTTTTTGTTTTTTTTAAGATAAGGGAGAACAGGCTGGAAGAGAATTGCGATCCATACTGTTGCTCTCCAGATTGACGTGCAGAATGGAAATCAATCATGATTTGCATGTGAATGAACCCCTCAGCTGCATCAGCCGGGGGTCCTTTGTTTGTTTGCATTGTGAACATTTCACTTTCTAAATAATTCGACCATTAAAGAAAAAAAAAACCTGGACTGCTGCAGAAGTTGGACAACACCATGGTGTGTGACGACACGCTAGGCAACCACAACAGAGACTAACAAGGTGTTAGTATTGCACGAGGTCCTCTGTCATTCTGCATCATTTATTTTTACACCCTGAGTCCAAAGCCGATCAGATTTAACAACGCACGGAGCAGTGCTGCGTTCAAAGACCTGCCCGATTACAGCGAACGATCGGATGTGTATCCAAAATCAGTTTGGACGACCGGTGATCGAAATGGTCTAACAAAGTCTTTCTGATGTGCAAAGCAGACTTGATGGCAGTTTAAATGACAAAAGGCATCCGTGTGGTTGTGTGACTGCTGCTGAATGTAAAGCAGCTGCAGCAGCAGAGGAAGCTAAGCTCGCTTTAGCCCAGCTGACGTTCGGCTGAACCACTTTGCCTCATTACAGATCTTAATATAAACACGGGAGGAGGGGACCGGTTTAGAGCGACCCGTAGCATGCATCGGCGCCGTACAAATCCGCAAACACCAACGGAGCTCTTGTACACATCCACACGGAGAGAACCCGGAAACAGCATCGGAGACAAAAGCAGCAGCGGCGGTAGGAGGAGGAGGAAGAGGAGAAGCAGCAGCTCACCGAGGACTGCCGGGTCCGCGTGAGAGGACAGCAGGCTCCGGAAAGACACCTCCGCTAAAACCTGGAAGCTGCTCTGCTCGAAGGAAGAGGGGTCGGCTAGGGACTGTAGCCCTCTCTGCACGGACTCAGACAACTCCATTTTGCAAACACGGGTGACCCACGACCACGTGACGGATCAGCTGATGCAGCGTGTGGTGGAGGTGGTGGTGGTGGTGGAGCAGCAGAGAGCCGATCGGAGGAGCCGAGGCTGGAAATGTTGAGCAAACACAGAGGGTGGGCATCAAGATTTTTTGAGGGGATTGCTCATCTGCGGTCGGTCACAAAGAGGAGCACGCTCATCGCAACATTTAAGGATAAGCAGGAACCTCCACACAAACACATCGCAACAGAAACCTCTCTCAGTGGTTATATCTGCCTACATATTTGAGTGAACACTCACAGATATTCAGATGGGCTTCCAACAAACACCTGATATCTGCTTTCAGAGGCCTATTTAATGTTCTTCTGCCATCCCTGCACGTTAAATGTATTAAAGAAAAAACATGCAACAGCTGCATGAACACACACATTTTATCCTTATGAAAAATATTTAGGCTACATGTTGTCACTTTTGAAACCAAGGGTAGGCCTATGATGAATAAACAGTTTGTGGTAGCCTCATTGTTTGAATGAAAATAAACTAATAACAACATGTTGTTTAGTCAACACATTCAGTCGACCTCTGCAACGTGAAGGTTTGACTGTCTATATCCCTTTTTTAAATTCCATTTCAAAAGTAGCCGAGCTGTTCCGTTTTTTATAGCCCACTGGCGATTGAACCCAGTTTACTCCGTTTTCATATCGCCTACATTATATGACCTCTGTATTTAATCCTGATATGAAATGTGTCCTAATTAATTTTCTCGTTAAAAGATTAACAGTTTGGGAGTAATTATTCTCAAACAGCTTTACAATAACCCACACCCGACTGGCCGACTTTACTTCAGTAACTTTTACATGCACTATTTATTAATAGGCTTTTAATAAACAACAGGTACCCTTGTCATATAAGTGTCTCTACTTTCCTCATCTGCATATGTAGTTTTTTCTTTTTTTATGTGGAGAACTTCCCCTTTAAAATGTCTTGAAGCAGTCATCAGGTAACCTCTTAGTGAGCCAAGTAGGTCACATTTAGATTTCCATTATGTCAGCTACTCATGTGTAATCAATGCATGATGCAGGTTAAACCCTCCTGACAACAACTTTGCTCTGAGAGAAATAAAATAGCCCTTGCATTGAGGGGAAAAAAGTGCATTTAAAATAAGGGTAGGATATTTAATCATGCAGATGTAGCGGTGCACATGCTCTTCAGTTTCTGGGAAATAGCCTAATCATTCGATCTGTCAGGGGGGGGGGGAAAGCTTCAGTTCATGTTATCATGGGTACATTGTTTATAACACGACAACCAGAGAAGCAAAGGAAATCACCTCTGAGGAAACGCTTCAGCAAACGCTTTCTTTTATTTCGATTAATCGAGTCTACATTTGTACATCCTCAGTGCATTTAACATACTGTGTGTCTGTTCCCCGGCGCTGGAGCCTCTTCACCTTTTCATTGAGCACCAGCAGTTAACGGGTTAAACTTGTTTGGGAGGAAAAGGTATTTATTGTTTCACTCGTTGCATAGATATTGCTGCGACACGCCCGGTTTCAATAAATTGTGATACATATTTGAAACGTCAGCGAGATGTTCACCACTCTCTCTCTCTCTCGTGCATTATCTTGACACGAGGAGGGCTGCAGTCTCGCGCGCGGCCACACACGCCGCTACAGATACCCGCGTGACCTCTGACTCCGCGCTCTGTCCGCAAGTCCAAACTGGCCCCAGTACGGCTTGTGGAGCCGATTGGGATTTTTTAACTCTTCTAGAAATGTCTTTTTACTTCTACAGTGTGTGCCTCTCTCCACTCTGCTGCCACAGAAGCGTTTTATTTCGACGTGCTGTTACGCTACATCATCATATCATCTCCTGGTGTCGACTAACTGCGTCACAGCTGGATGTCGAAATGGATTCGGATCAAAAATGTCTCCCCTTCACATAGGCTACTGTATGCACCACTGATGCTTCAATATTAGGGGTCCCTTGCTGCTTAACGTAGGCTATAAATGAATAGAGAGTTTAGGTTCGTCGAATTCCTTCAAAAAGAAGTCTAGTTAAGGAATATTGGAGAACCGTGGTCGTCAATAAAGAAGAGCCTATTAACCACGAGTTAAAAAAAAACAACACAACCAAAGAAATGAACACCTTCTTTAGTCAGTGAACACCTGGATTATTTGCTGCAATGTGGTCAAGTCACCAAAATCTGTTTGCCTAACTGATAAACTACCACATGCCACAGTTTTTTTTTTTTTTTTGCATCAATATGTTGCTTCTACGAGCTATAAATACAAAAGTGTTACCAGTTCAAAGAAAAACCTTTATGATGTCAGAAAGTATAGCCAACTATGCTTGTGGTTTTATATAGGCTATATATATATATATATATATATATATATTGACACTGTTGGTAAAGAAACAATAAGCTGCTTTCCTTTACCTCTTTACCACCAGACTGTAAAAAATATAGCCTACATGATTAGTGGTTAAAGGCCTACTCTGTTACACGATGACTTTTTGAATAAATATGAATATGGAAGTCAATAAACTGTTAAAGGTTTCATTTGAAAGTTGTGCTAATATCCAATGTGCACTTGGATAGGATTTTCATTTTAAGCTTTAAAAGCCCTGCACTTGATTTTGGGAGATAGAGTTTAATTCAATGATCTGTAAAGCTGTAGCCAACAGCTCAGGTCAAAATGTTGTTCAAAGATAATATTTATGTCCTGCCTACTAGGGTACTCTTGATGTCATTTGAACATTTTTGCATTATACATTATATTATAGTTTGAATAGTTTAAATTAAACCTGCATTTCCTCTCTATCTCCCATAATATCTTTCTTGATTTATTCTATTTTCAGATTAGCTAATGATGGGTTTGCTGAACACAAATACAATTAAATACATCAATATTTGGTCTGAATTGTTTTTTATTTTTTATTTTTTGCCTCCACTTACTGCCTTTACATAACAGTGCCAAACTGGAAACATCCCCTTTAAGATGACACGGCGGTAATATGACCTTGGGAAATGTATGCATTGTGAACAAAAAGGGAACACGTTTTCTAAACCAGCTCGTAAGGCACATTTAGATGTGAAATTGTGACCTCGATGCTCGTAACAGTCTCTTAAAGAATGAGTTTATGCATGTTGAAGTTTTGGCAAAGAGGGTTACAAGTCTGAGATGGACCTTTAAGACATTAGAGTTTGCTGGTTTTTTTTTGGTTTTTTTGCATACCATTTAAACCCCTAAACTGAAAGCTAGAGCTCTGATTGAAGTGGTTCTGTTTAAAAAAAAAAAAAATGAATTGAAGTTTCAGGCCTGTTTTTTATTGTCTCTGGTTGACTCGATGGCTTGTTGTAGCTGCTTTTTCACAAGTAATGTAAAGTGAAATATATGTCGTTTTGATTACCCGGGTATAAATCTTTAACATACAAATGGTTTCCTGCCTAACTTTTATTGGTTAAACGAAACTTCTTTTTTTTGCACAACACGCCTACATTAAAAACTTTATTTTGACACTTTTCACAGCTTGCAATGTTGCAGTACATTTAGTTTTGCATATCATGAAGGCTTACATTTCTCGACTTTTGAGAAGGAGTTGCATGCAGACACAGGAGGCTACCGGCCTCTCCCAAAAATGATAACCCCCCCCCCCTTTAACCTATATTCTTAAACGCTTGCAAAACAACCACCGTCTGTGGTGTGCAACACAGTTACGAGCTCCGTTCTTTGTTCGTGTTTCTCTGATGCCAAAACCTGTTTATTGCTTGACAAAATATAGCACTGAAGCATTTGAATGAACCTTTAACCATTGGTGTCAGCTTTCAGAAGTAAGTAAGGGACGCATATTTGGTGATGTGATTATTAATCGACAGTGTTCCTAATGACTGAAAATAGTTAATGCTTTAGTCAGATTCAACAGGGTACAGTTTAGTGATGTGTAAATGTCTCCCCTGATTTAAGACCCTGAAGTAGCCTATAGAGCTTTCCCCTGAATTCATCCTTTAAACATGAGGAGTGTTTGTGGACTGTTGGATCCGTCTAATCATTAATTTGCAGATTTGCAGATAAAGTAAGTTTGTACAGTTTTTGTGCTCTGTAGTCTTAAACCACGTTATTTGCAAGTGAGGAATATTAAGGGATGAAAAACTGAAATATACTTCTCCTGATAGTAATAAAGCATTAGCACGTGTAGGCTACTTCTAACGATTCAGTATGCCATTCTAAACACAATTAGAAAGTTTTAACAGACGTTCTTTATAATCCAGGATTTCCAGAATTGTCCCAACATAATAAAGAAGACCCCTTATATGCTATAGTGACTGTAGTAACATTTCTATAAATTGATTCTCCATCTGCTTAACATCTTTGAGTCATTTTCAGCTCTTTTTCTTTTTTTTTTAATTAAACGGGAGGCTGGATTTCTAAAAGCTTTATTTCGATAGTGTTCTGATGACAGTTTTAGGTTTAAGACAAAAAAAAGTTTTCATACAAATAAGATTCCTCTTTCTAAATTGGTGCGTTCATTGTTAATTGATTGGAGCACAAAAGTGTTGAACAGGTGTATCTTGGTTTAAAAAGATAATGATAAATATTTTTTAATTGTTGGGCATATACGATTTACTTACACCGACAACATTTTTAAAAACAGATCATGCAGGTTGTTACGTTAATTAAAACTCTAAGCGTGGAAGAGCATTAAACCCAAACTCAAACAAGCTCTGGAGTCAGCAACTAGACGTGACCACGAGGCCCAAAGGGGGGAAAGTAATATAATTATTATTCAGGCTATATCCAGTTATTACATTAACACTTTAAACTTTAAGCAAACATTAGGCTCCTGGAACGGAACTTGATTCAAGCTCCCAAGAGGAACATAAACTTGCTGTTGCACTTTGTCACACCTGATGTGTGTTTAACCATTTCAGAGACCTTTCAGCGTCATTTGCTAAAATAGATGAGAAACCCTGGAGCCAATCTGCACCTCTCTGATGTGGCTCAAAAAGTTTATTTGTTAAACAATCAAGCAAAACACGCGCGGGGCTCAGATTTGTAGGTCATTATAAA